AGAATTTAGGGTTTGAATTTTTTCATCTTGGTGGCGCCATCTCTCCACGAACCGCCAAAGTTTGTCGTGAAATAGTTCTCACATTCTGACGCTAGATGGCACCACATTTTTTGTTAATTAAAAGCTAGTCATTAGACAATTATTACTGTACAAATAAACAATTAGACGTTGAATTATGATAATGGCTACGTTAAATTACATTAATACGCAGAGAAAAGAGGAGAATTAATGTTATATAGAAACTATTTCACTACAAACTTGGGTGGTTTACTGAGAGATGGCGCCACATTCTTCGGTATTTTTATTTATTTAAAAAACCAGGTATTAAACAATTATTAGTGTACTAAACAATAATTAGAAGCTGAATTATGATAACTACGATGTAAAAAATATAAGAATGTGCCAAAAAAGGTAGATAATGTGAATATAGTATGTGAATATGTGAATAATGTGTATATGGTGAATCATTTCTTGATTGAAACTATAGAATCTAACACTTGCCGTACTAATCATTTTTCTATTCTAGTCAAAATTCAAAAAAAAATAGACATGTGTTTACAACCCCATCTTTACCAACTCGTAACTTTATATCGGTTAGACTCACGAGATTTTTACAAGAGTCCTTTCTTGAAGAGCATTCAATCATCCTATAAGAACATACTATGACATAATATTTCAGTTATTTCATTCTCGAGATATAAAAACCAGAATGCCGAACAGTTTACTTACCCATGTAACTTTGAGAATTCAACTTTGACGTTGGTCCTAGGCGTACATAACTCCCTGTACTCGCCGGAAGTTTGCTGAGCGACATCCGGAAAGAGGAAAAATGCAAAAGAAAAGGGCTATTGGTTGATTGACGGTCGTTGTAAAGTTTTAATCCGACGCGAAAGGCCTAAGCCGAAAAGCCTAAAGCCGAGAACGTCATCACGACCGCTCGTGCTCGTCTAGCTCTTCCTTCAGATTAAATTAATTCGATTAACGAATGCCGTTTATCGTCCATGCCGCGTGATCCTACGAGATATTTTTTTCAGGGACGATTGTCATATCTCGACGTTTACCCTCGTCTTTACACTTATCGTAAGTATGGTCATTTTTGAACACGTTCACTGCCAGACTAAAACTCTTGGAAATTCCTACTGTGTTCAAATTTTGTTTACAGACTATTGGAAGCTGCGTAATGAAACATTTATTGCGGTATTTAGTTTTGTAACGTCATCAAAGTTCGAGTATCTCAATTAAATTCTTTTCTATGACAGTTAACTTTCAAAAGTAATTTTCCTAGTTTTTCAGTGAAAAACACTGTCACCCATATATGGGTGACGTGGCGATCAACGTGTTAACAGGAATCGTGAAAAAGACTGTATGTGCTCCTTTAGAATGTATGATTAAGTAAAAAAAAAAATATACATGTCGAATTGAGTAACCTCCTCCTTTTCGAAGTCGGTTAAAAATTGAAATTGAATGGATTTTCTTTAGAAATAAATGCCAAGTTTAGAAATTCGCAGAATTAATTTCTCCATCCGATATAATCATACCGGAATTGTAAGCAAAATGCGTTTTACGAGGTTCCGTTTGTAAAGGAGGTTGGGAAGAAAGCGAAGCTTGGGAGACACTGTTTCGGTGGTCGTTTGAAATATCGTTTAAAGGTATCCCACGGAGCCATTGAACGAGAATTCTCCTCCATCGAGAATACGTCAAAGAACTGTTTCTCTAGGAGCTGAATTCCACCGAAAAGGTGTCCGAAACATAATTACGGCATTCACTCCACGAGGGATGCCGGTCGCCAGCAACCTTCCACTTCTTTTCTAGTTTCTATTGCTATTCGGACGACAACCCTCCATTTTCGGTAAACGTGTTCCACTAATTTATTACTGACTGCTGGAATTTTTGTGAAAGGCCCAACATCGCCGCTACAGCTTTAAAATAAAAAACTTAGTATAAAATGCCAAAAAAAAAAAGAGGAAAATTGATCTTTTTGGTGTAACAAAATGAACAAGCACGAAAATGTAAGTAGGTGTTATGTATAACAGTAGGTATAAAATAATAAATTGTACGATTTTTAGTACCATGAATTAACGCTAAGAAAATACTTGAAACATAAACAATTATCGATTCTCCCTCCCGAAAGTTAACACGAAACGCCATTTATCCCAAATAACAGTCATTACCTGGCCCACGCAAAAACGTGAAAGCTGCAACGTATATATTTTTCATCTGATCAATTTGTCATGATCCAAAGGATGACGTGAACGTTACAGTAAAACCGGGAATCAAATTATAGATCGGATAACCCGAAATTAAGGAAAGAATTCGTGGAATTTAGCGGGGAGATCCTGGCAGCGATGGTTGCGATGCTAAAGGTTCCTTTTCCGTCGATTAGATGAGAAGACAGGTCCCGATGCGTGCATGGATTATGGAGCGGGTTCTGCGAGGGTCTATCGGTCGAATTGGCCAGCGGGAAAAAAAGCAGAACGGGAATGCAGCAGATAGGACGTCGAAAAGCAAGAGGGACAAGCCGGAGGGAGAGAGCAGAGGCTTCCGTCACGCGATCCTCGCCGATCCTCGCCGATCCTCGAAGAAAGGATCTCGTTAGTTAGTTAGAATTCAACACCCTTCAATTTTTTACGAACATTTTTTTATTCGCGTCAAGTTCGTGCCACACGAATGTCTCGCGATTCGCGAATCTACCGCGAGCGATCTAAACGGGTTACGCCACTTTGCTTTTTCAAGAATTTTTATCGAAGCGATGACTCCAAATCTGAACTCAAAACTTAGAAATTCAATATGGCGAATCCAATATGGCGGACAAAAATGAAAAAAATGAGCCGATTTGGATGAAACATGGTATTCAGGAGTGTTTAGGAGAGCTGATTTCAAATCTGAACTCAAAACTTGGAAATTCAATATGGCGAATCCAATATGGCGGTCAAAAATGAAAAAAGTGAGCCGATTTGGATGAAACATGGTGTTCAGGAGTGTTTAGGAGAGCTGATTTCAAATCTGAACTCGATATTTGGAAATTCAAAATGGCGAATCCAACATGGCGGACCAAAGTGAAAAATGTGAGCCGATTTGGAGGAGACTTGGTACTCAGGGTTTTTGGGGTCGTTGATTTCAAATCTGAACTCGAAATTTGAAAAACAAATAATCAAAGTGAAATCATCTCATCCTTTCTGTATTCATAGTATCATCTTTGAAGGTATCGTCGCCTCATTTTGCACACCCGACATAAATGTCCATAGATTCTACTCTGAAATCCTTGTTTACCGACAAATCTATAGAAGGTGTACCTGCACCCATTGAAAAATAAACGTACGAAGCTTCCAAGTCCCGGCGATCATCTTCGGATGTATCCTACTCACTGTTCCATCTATCGGAGCGGTCCGCTTCCGGGCGCAGCTGAATCCTCCACCGTGGCGGAACGCGAGTAGTGGGGTCCCGACGCGAGTAGTCTCGGTGTGGGATTGGCCCGAGAGGAAT